AATAAAAATTTCTTGTGTTCATATGTGCACAAATTTTTTTTTGCAGATCATAAGATCGACGAATTTCCAACACTGCACACCACTGTATGTAAATAGTCATCATATGGAATTGAAGAATTTTTATAAGCTGCAAGAGCTAAAATAAATAATGCAGTCAGAATAGGTATCTATACATTTCAACGTATTTAATGACAAAGGTAAAGATAAATGTTTTGTGACAATGACTTATCCATCAAAAATTAAAGTGAGTCCCACTTACACTCTCAACAACTTATGATTTACGTGGTAAAACTTTATTATTTGGCAAATCCTTTGCATCAATTAATAATGTTGATGATGAATAAAAATTTAGCAAAGGTATTATAGATAAACTTGTTCCTCAAGTAGACTTGGCTCAAGAAATGATTAATACGGCTACAAAATTTATTCAATGTGTCATTTTGATTATAAAGAATTTCATATCTCTATTAAAAGAAGTGAATCTGAGATGAATTCGTTTCGAAGTGGGGAAAGATTTAGAAGAATGGTATGTAATCTATTGACTTTTTAAATATATTTATTTATTTATCATTCAAAATTTTTTTTGTAAACTTAGGGAGAGTATCATTAATAAATTATAAAAACAGCACTATTATTTGACTTTTTTTCCACTTGGACATATCTTAAATTTTAGGATTATTTTACGAATTATATTGACTTGAAAAAAATATATGTAAGACGAATTCAAAATGTTAATAAAGAATAATGTGAAATCTTAATATTAAAGCTACATTACCACCTCCGCCATTACTAGAAAAAGATATTTCACATGGATATAATGACTATTATCTGAAATTGGTTTGAAACTTTTGAATTAATTTCAAGAAACCCTAGAAATATTAAAATCTCCATGGAAAATCAGATGTTGTACAACTTGGAAAATTGTTTGTAGCTTCATGTGATGATGAATCCTTAGTTCCTAATATTATCATGTCATTATATGTCAATCATTAAATTTATCCTGAACCTTGGCAACTATTATTCTTTGATATAGGAGAGCTTTATGGGCTTGAAGCGGTTAACACTTTAAACGGTAGTTTGAGTAGAGATTATCCATTGATAAAATTTTTTAAATTTTATTTCTTGAGAGAATTACATCAACGAGGATTTTCTTTCAAAGAATTTCTATTTAGCATTGAATCAAAATAGTGTACAATGGTTTTATGGTCTAAAATGGGATTTTGATTACGACTATATCTTGTTGTTTAATCCTTATTGGCATTAGATAATTATCGCATGGTCGAGATAGCTTTTAAAAACGGTGACTGATAATAATAGTAAAGGATATGTAAAACGATTCAACTTTAACACCGGGTATAGCCTTTTTTAGATTTATATTTACAAGATTACAATTACTAATGTCGGTTGGTGAAATGAGACACGCGGAAAGTGAAGTAAAGAAAGTTTTACAAAATGAATATAATGTAGAACCTTTATATAAAAAATTAATACAGAATTTAATAAATAATGAATTTCATATTTTAAAGGTTGATAGACACTTTAATAAAAGACAATTTAGAAATGAAATCAGTCATAGCACATAATAGGGTTACACTCATCTATGCCATCTAAGACATTAAGATTATTGGTTTATTGGAAACATGTAATCATGGATTTATATTGATTTGTCCGTCTTTTGTAGATTATACTGCTACATCTGAAACTGGTGTATCAAGGAAAATGTAATGTTTAGTTAATTTATCATCTTCTTTAGATTGATAATAAATTCCTCGATTTTACTTTTACACTCGAGACATATTCCTTCTACAATTTTCCCACCTTACTCGTTAACAACATATTTATATCTATATCCACATTCACACAAATATCTCATTATCATCCCATGTAATACTAAACACTATTGCTGAAACCATATGAATTGTCATATGGGAATCCAAAACAAAGAGAAGATTGGGAAATAAGGTTTGCAGATATTGTACCATTTACTAAAAATATTGTTGAATCAACAACCAAGTTCATTATTCAAATTAGAAGAGTCAATGAGCATGTATTATTTTGACAGTAATGTCGTTGGAGAGATAAATCAAACATTATCAATGAATAAGAATTGTCAGAAATCATATCTACCTAAACTTTGGAGATATATTGGCAAGAGTAATTTTGATAATTTTAGAGCACATTATTATGGAGCATTAGAAAAACCAGCACAAAGATCATATCCCATTTTTAACAATATTTTCAAGCACCATGATTGATAAGTTAAACATTTATCAGCCATTATAAAATTTGTGAACTTTTTATCATTAAGATTAAGTTATCGGATAACTAGATTGACCGCAAACAATACAACCTTTAAACAATAAACTATTTTTGAACAAAAAGAAAATGATGTATCACAAGAACTTGTGTTTAATAAGTTATTTCATGATTTTCATTATTATGGAATCAAATGATCAAAGAAGATACAGTAACCAATACAAAAAAACTGGTAGATGTACCAGAAATGAACACACACAGACCAATAATCTTTGGGTTAATTGGTCCAGAAGATCAAAGATCATATGTATGCGCGCAATAATAGAAAATCTTGTAGAAATACAAAACAGTTTTTTGAGAAACATTTTGACAACACCAATCGGAAAATGTGAACCTATCAAATTTTTACAAGGATCTAGAAATCATAACGTAGTAATTGATACTAAAATGTATTATTATCCACCAGAAATTAAATTAAATTGGACAATTTAAAGAAATTAATTTAATAATTATGAATGAGATAATGATTTTTTGGTTTATAGTCAAAGAAGTTTGGCTGTTGTACAAGGGCAAAAAATCATTTATAACTTACGAAATATTGAAGGGGAGCTTGCCAAGAGTTTGGTTATGAAAAATACTATGCTGAGCAGAATAAAGAAAACTCGCATTTGAGTCATTCTAATATTATTACAAGCTTATTAGTGATATTAAATTGTTAAGATCATAAGAATTTTATCATTTTTGGAATTAATTTTATGTTTTATTAAACGAGCATCAGTTGGTGCCAGGTTGTCATCATTGGCTCGTGACAACAATGAATTCAAGAATATATGGAAGCTAGGATTGAAACTTAAAAATATCATATGAACTCTATTATGCTAATGGAGTGATTGAACATACAAGAAATATAAAATAGTAATTGATAATGTTTTGAAAAGTATGATTGAAAGTTCAATTAATTTTGAAGCAATAATTACTGAGGAAATTAAATAATCCACCAGCAAACTCATTTGCACCAGCATTAAAAAGATTTATATTTAGATTCTTGTCATCAGAATCGGTTAAAGAACATGAATTACTAGATAATTATTTAACTGATACGAGTTTCAATCTTTGGTCATCAAATATTAAAGAATTGATAAATTTTGGAAAGAATCGAAGTAATTAAAATTTTATAAACTTTATAATTTTTAAAAATCATATAATATGGATGGAGAAATTTAATTTCATTCTCTTCTGGTCCTAGTGCACAATCATCAAACAGTTTGACATAAAAAAAGAATTTTATTTATTTATTATCTTGTATTTTTAGTGCCATATTTTGTTTTATTATTTAAAATAATAATAAACCTGTTAAAAAATTTTACACGATATCTTTATTCGATTAATTGACACACAGCCGAATCATTTACAACAATAGCCAGCCATCGATGTGAATGGACTTTCAATCCAAAAATAATCAAAAATTAGAACGAAAAAAATATTTTTTATTAATAATAATAACATTAATACTACGAACGACAAATCAAAAAAAAAAAATATTTGATAAAAAATGAAAAAAAAAATTTTTTTTTCCAAAATTTGATTTCTGCTAATATTTTATAATTTCAGTTTTTGCCACGTTTTCGTTTATTTTCAATTGCAGGATCGGTTACTTGGATCTTTTTTGATGATGAACTTTTGTGTTGTTCATCTTGATCTTCTACTAGTTCTCCTGATTCTCCTAGTGTTTTACGTTTTCTTGAACTTTTAGAAGCTTTCTCGACACCGGGACTAACTTCTACTGGTGTTGCTGCTTTACTTTTTTTAGAACTTTCACCAGATTTTTCATCCTTGTCATCATTTGCCGATTTGCGCTTTCTTGAAACTTTGGTTACTTTTTCAGCTTCATCGCTTATTCCTTTTTTAATTTCTTGATCTTCGTCGTCTTTCATCAACTTTTCTTTATCATTACCTTTATCAACGCCATTTGACTCTTTATTTTTTTTCACATCGTCTTGAGTTTTCACGACAATTTTATCAATATCCATTTTGCTATTGTCGTTATCAACCTTGCCAATTTCTTTATTATCATCTTTATTAGCAAGTTTATCATCATCATCAGTTTTGCCATCGGCAACTTTATCATCTTCATTATCTTCGCCTTCATTGTTTTCATCTTCACTTTCATCTTCTTCTTCATTACTTTCACTATCAGAACCAGTTTTGTTTTTTGTTTCAGAAGATTTAACTTTTTTAGATGATTGCTAAATTAGTTTGAATGAGTGAATAATATTTTTTTATTAACATTATTCTCAGTCACGGGTAATAAATAATCTAATAAATATATAGACTACCTTTTTATTAATTGTTTTACCGGTCTTAATATTTTCTTCTTTTGCTTTTTCTTCGAATTCTTTTTTCTCCTCAGCAGATACGCCTTTCCATGCCTCAGATAAAATCTTATCAATGTCAACACGATTTTTAGATTTGTGCTCTTCCATAGCTCTATATAATGATCTTTTTTCATTCATAAAAATGTCTCTAGCAGATTTCTTACGAGGAGCTTTGGATTTTTTAGATGATAATAATGATGATTTAGTTTTTCTCTGAGCCTTGCTCTCATCAGAACCGGATACTTCTTTTGGATTTATTAACCAACTATAAAGTCTATCAATTATAGTTCCTTTATCGCCACTTGCTTTCAAGTTAAAGACAGTACACATGTTTTTCAGTCCAATTAATTTCCATTTTTCCAATTTTTCCTTAATGACAATTTCGTCTACAGGCGTGGCATTAGAAAATCCAGAAAATCGGCGGATGTTTGATTTAATCTCATTTTTCATACCAACAGTTCCATAAAAGAGTTTGTGTAGACCTTTCAATACATCATCATTGTATTTTAAACGATTAATATTACGTGAAACAGCGGGGATTTCACCAAGAGGTGTTCCTGAGCCTTGGCCAATATTTTCTAATTTCTTTCTTGAGCGACTCTTGGATTCTTTAGCTTCATAGCTAAAAGGAACTACTTGCTTCACTGCTCTCTTTGGTCTTTTATTAATAAGAAGCTCTATAATATATTGGTAGCAGTTAATATATTATTATTTTGTTATTATTTTATGATATACATATATTATTAAATTTCTTACCGTCATCATCATCGTTATCATCATCGTCATTATTATTTTCAGTTAAATTTGACTTGTTTTTATCATTGTCATCGTTGGTTTTTTGCACCGTTGATGTCTTATTATTTTTATCATTATTATCATTAATGTTTGTAGTAGTGGAAACAGAAGGATCTACAATTTTATCAGAATCCTCAACAGGCTGTGAAACAGTAATAGTTGTAATTTCTATATATTTACGATTAATAAATAATACATATTTAATTATTTAATTATTATTCCTCCGCTCTTGTACTAAAGTTGTACAGATGGTTATTATTATCACTTACCACTCTTCATGATTTCATAAATTTATATATACAACAATTAATACTAATTATTTTAATTAATTGTACGAAAGAAACAAAATATAAATGTATGTACAATCTAAATATTAATCACTCTATAGAGCGAATTAACAGTATTTTGAATATTTTGAAAACTATGATTTATATTTAAATTTGAGATGTATGTATATTTTAGAGTATTATGTTGAACAAACAGAATTAAAAAAGTAGTTGGTTGATGTGTAGTTTTTAAAAAAAAATTAAAAATTAATGGGAAAAAAAATAGTCTTTATTTTTAAATATGACTTTTGATTGGACAAAAATTAAATGTATTACAAATAATTTGTAAATGATTGGCCGAGATAATCTAGTATATATATTAATATATCCGAAAAATTAAAAAATAGCACGCTGTACTACATAAAGGAAAAAAAATCAAATTTGATCGTTTTTTTAACACCAATACTTTTAGTAAAAATGATCTTTCTATGTCCATTCCAATTGGTATGTTCTATAGATGGGTGTCTAAATTGTTTTTGGGATTGTCTAAAGTCAAAATAATATTTAGACAA